CTGTTGAGAAGTGACGGGAGTCCCTGGCTTCCAGATTTCCAGTGACATGCTTGTCAGACGTGCAGAGAGGGTTGACAATGACTGGGCTTTAAAAAAAAAAAAAAGACATTATTATTAGGAAATCCCCTCACCAGTGAGATAATTGAAATGAGAGTTTGTTTGCAGCTTCAGTTTTATTTGATCCAATTAAAAATACATAAGCAGGCACTTATATTTGTGTACATAAAGTATTGCTAGTTCCAGTTATGACTGATGTGCCCGTGATTTCAGGAGTACGAGATCTAATAAGGCAGGATAATTCAATTTTGAGCTTATGAACCCGTGTTCTCCACATTAGGGTTTATGGACCATTAGTAATCTGGCCAAGATTTCTAGTGAATCCTTGGCATCTGTGGGCACCTCTCCACTCCTCCCCCCCCCCTTCATTTTACTCCTTTCTTAATCCCGTCTATTCCCAGGCTTCCAGTCAGCTGCTCATTTCTGGTGTAACGGGGGGCGGGAAGAAACATTTGAAGCACTTCGAGTTTTTAGATGTTAAGAATATTCCCAAGATTTGATTATTAATTCCCATATGGCATATACCAGTATGCTTCCAGCAGGCTCCAAATTTTGACATACTTTGTGGGGACTGTTTGTGGCCCTTGGGGAAATCCTGCCAGAGACCCCCCCCCCCCTGCGGGGTTCTGGGGGCTGATAGTGAACTGGTCTTTAATTGTTAATGGGCATAGTACAACAGTAAGCCAAATTGGAAATGGAGGGACAGCGCAAGAGAGGAAGATCTTAGATGAGATAGATTGACTCAGTGACTGGGGTAATGAGAGTAGGTGTGTCAGAGACAATGCATTTGACTCGAGAGAGCAGGGCTCAGAGCTGTTGTACATAAGGTTGCTGTCAGTTGCAGACTACTTGATGGTATGTAACAACAACATCAGCAAGCCAGCCTAGGGAGATAGTTTTTTATGAACTTTGTGGCCAGCTGACAATAGAAGGAAGGTTTGAGATTCATGTATAATAAAAAGATTAGGTAACATATGTCAAGCCTTGCTTCTGCCATAGCAGAGCAGGTGATTTCATAGGTAACCAAAGGCCTGGGAGAGGGTTGGGGTATATATTTGGTTTGGAGATCTTTCAGTCCCCCAGCAGGTTTCATAGATGAATTGTGACACAACTGGTATTTAAACTTTATTTTAAATGGACTTAATATTAAAAACGATCTTGGCAAATTGCTCTGGTGGTGTGGTCCATGGATGGTTGTGTCGCCAGCTTTAAGGTGCGAGTCTCTGGTGGTTCAGATCCATCAAGCAGCTCCCGTGGAGAAAGATGAGCAGTCTTCTTCAGGTACGATTTATAGCTTCGGAAACTGGATGGAGGGTCATTATGACTTGGAAACAGACTGAACCACAGTGAGTTTGTGGCTTAGAACCTCCCTTATGGTAACCAGACTGAGACCCTATTCTTGATGTAATCTGGCTAATGAGCACACTAACTCTTCATCTTTTGTGATAATAGAGTTGTGTGGTATCACAGTCTCCAGGAGCCTTTTATACACTCTCATTCCTTTGCTTCTCACATTGAGCTCTTTAGTTATAGCACTGCTATATACTTTCCCCACAACTTCTGGGTATTTTCTATCTCTAATTATTGTTATGACTTATTAGTAGTACAGTTGGAACTGCTCAGACCTCAGCAACACAATATTTCAGGCAAACCACACAAGACTGTTGAAAGATATGAAGTGAGAGAGAGAGAGAGAGAGAGAGAGGTACAACTAACATGGCTACATTTCTGGGAGGTACTTTAGCTGAGTTTGGTGGTTGGTTTTTTTTATTTTTGATTTTAAACCTTTTGATTTACTTGTAATTTCAAATACCAAAGAAATCTGAAGCAGAATAGTATCTCTTTAGAAACCAAATCTTACTTGATAGACTTACTATAAGACTGTAGATAATGTTAGATCCAGCAGTTAGATAATGTTAGTTGGGCTGCTATGCCTAGGAGATCTCTTCTTTAAGTTTCCAAGACATTTCTTGCAAGTATGGCCTTGACCTTGGCAGAGTTTGCAGTTGTATGGTTTGGTGTAAAACTGGGAGGAAACAAATAATTCCACAACCTCAGTCTTGACTACTGGTGTAGGTACCCATGTTGTAGACTTTCTCAGAGAAATTGCAGTAATGACCAAATGGGCTATATATTTCTAAACTCCTTTGAGCAGATTTTAGGATTTAAAGACTTTTCTCACGAACTGGGGGGCGGGGGGGAGAGTAGAGAAAATAGTGCAACAATGAATGAATGGAAACCCAAAATCTTTGTGTTCATTAAAATTAATAAAATTTAAAGACTTTTCTCCTTGCAAAATTATCCTTGATATAGGAGTAATGACAATGTCCAAATCAATTTAGGTGATTCCTCTCATACCCTTCTTTTTATCTTCTCCCCCTGTAAAGCAAGATTTCAATAATTTTATTTTAATACGTATTTAGTGGTTCTCTTTATACTTCTGTTCCTCATTTTTTTTAGAAAAATTAATGCAGAGGAAAAGCTACCGTGACTTCTTTAGACCTGCCTGCATTCTACTGTACCACATTATGTTGAAAACTCTTTGAAATATGTAAAATAATATAACTAGTGCTTACATATCTCTCTTCCCTGCAGAACCTTTTTGTTTGCTATGGAATGTGACATACTTGTGAGGGAAGCAAAAAGGACTCTCATTGATTGAATACCTGGAGTGTGTCAAGCACCCGGCCTGGCACTGAGGCTGCAGAGTTGAAAAAAATGTTCCTGTTTTCTTAGCCATCTCAGTGAAGTAGGCCTGAAGCACAGAGAAATGAAGTAGCTCATTCAAGGCCATAAAACCTACCAGTAATGGTAGAGTCAGAGTTTGAATGCTGATCACTTGTAAATCCAAAGGACCTAAGTCTTTTTCACCATACAACATTCTCTCTTTCAAGATTTCTTTCAAAGCTAGCTTGTGCTGCCTTGAATTTATGGTATTAGGTTAACAAGCACAACTTTCCTAACTTCTGCACAGACTTTCATATTCTTTACATCAATGATTTGTCAGTGTAGAGCAGTTTGGGAATAATAGTGAACCCACTGCCATCAGGTTAATTGTGAATCACAGTGATCCTGTAAGATACAGAACTGCCCATACATAGGACTTTTAAGGCTGTAATGTTTGCAGAAGTTGACTGGCATATCTTTCTCCTGCAGAGTGGCTGGTGGTTTGAACCACTGGCCTTGTGGTTAGTAATCAGGTGATTAACTCATGTGCTGTCAAGGCCCCTGGAATACAGTCAGGGTACTCCTCAGTTGTCCTGTAGGGGTTTGGTACATTATGTGTTCTTGTCCATTAAGTTGTTCTGATAGTGTACCCTGGTGCAGTATTAACCTTGTAACTATGAAGTGAAAAGGGAGAATGTAGCCACTTGTTCCTTATCAAAATTTCCTTTTCTTCAGTTCATGTTGTAGAGGCATTGATAGCCTTATGAGAGATTCTGTTACTTCCATGAATGTCTTGGAGGTAGTAAAATGAAGTTATTTTTAAATACACATTCCTGGTTTTGAACTAATTATTTGTATAAAATTCAGAGAAGCATTTAGTTGCCAACATTACTACCTGTATTTGGTTTTTATTATTTGTAAGAAGCTCTGGCGATGTAATGTCTTTCTTGTTTAGCTAATGTCTGAAAAGTGAGTGGTTTGAATCCACTAGCCACTTAGAAGAAAAGATGGGCAATCTCTTTCATAAGTATTTACAGTCCCAGATACCTGATGGAAGATTTCTATGAATCAAAATCAACTTACTAGGAGTGAGATTTTGTTTTCACTTTCTTAGTATTATTTGCATCTACTTAAACGTCTCTTTTTGTCATCTGCCATCATCATCACTTTATTCTGTGACTTAAAATTTATACTAGTATGTATAAATGAAATATATATTTTAAAATTTATGGATATTCGTTGTTGTTATGTACTGCTGAATCGCCTGTGACCCATAGTGACCCTGTAAAATAGCTCCAAAGCCTGCTCTGTCCTGAGCCAGTCTCTCTGACTCTGGCACACCTACTCCCATTGCACTGGATACTATGAAGTCTTAAAAAGTTTACCAAGGAAGAAGCAGAATTTTCAGACTTCTATAGTGCTTTTATCTG